GTATGTTCTGCGTTGCGGATATATCGATCACCCGTGGGCATGTGTATAAACTTGAAATTCCGCGGATGGATCATGTTACTCATTCTCATGGCTTCGCTCGTCATGTGATACATTTCTGGAACTGACTGCCCAATCTTGTTGTTGTCGTCGCAGATTCTGTGCCATATTTCAACCAACGCATTGACAGTCACTTTGGCAACCTATGTTTCGATGCGGATGCTGTGTTCCATCTCCTCACATCGAATGGGTATGTTACGGTTGCTTTAACGGTCTTACAGGACCGAGACACCTACGCCTACCGCTTGTATGGCTTTTTGAACTATATTTTATGCGGCCGAGACCAGACGATCGGACTTACTACTTACGCAGACCAGTAACCTTCATTGGCGAGTTTGTCTTGCCTTTTTATGGTGGAGATGACACAGCTTGTAATCTTATTCTCCTAGTACAATGATTCTGATTCTTGGACGTGCCTTGGTCGTTGAGACCAGATTGTTATACAGCCAACGAGTTGTCATTGCTATACTGTTCCAAGGAACCGCTTTAGACTTTCCTTTTAATCCTTATGCATGAGAAATTCAATTTTATAGGAGTACCGCGTTATCCGTTCGTTGCTCTGAAGGTGCTTCAGTGGAGCAATGAACGATGGCATTCGAGATTGTTGCTAATGCAAATGTATTGTTACATGTTAGCTAGAGGTGTAAAAATACCTCAGCTCCTGTGCCGCAATACATAAAAGAAAATAAATGCAACAGTTGCGTTGTCACCATGATGCTAGCATGCAATCGAAGAGCCTCGTCTTCCGGTATGTCTACTACCTAGCCGGATCATCTGGTTAACTATATAAATTTATTACGATTAAAATTATAATTAAGGCTACGAGAATGAGACAATAGTATGCAGGGGAAGGGCTTAAAACGAGGATGGGGGGAAGGGACAACCACTGAAATCGGCCTCCTAGCCATGTCCATGCAAGGTAGTATCTAGCCAAACGTGTTCATCGTCTTTCGGACCCCAACCAGGGAGCCGGGACGCTCCAACCGAGGCCAGCTTCGAAGTGAGGGCCTTCATTCCTCTCGACCAAGTCATCGCTTGGGCACCTCTCCTCTTCCTCCATCCACACCACTGACGAGCAAACAACGCACGTCGCGGGAGCCGGTGGGCTGGCATGCGTAACACGTGGCCGAGCCATCGGAGCCTGGTGCGTGAAATAACGGTGCTGAGCGGTTCAGTTCCTTTTCCTGTGCCGTAAACAAGGCGTCGAACACGCTCGTTGCTCACGCGGTGTTCCCACCAGATGTGAGCCAAACTGCGAAGGCACCGGTGGTCGAACGTAACTAGCCTCTTTATGTCCGCTGATCTAAGGGGCCAGGTTTCGCAACCGTACAGTAGGGTCGAACGTACCGCTGCATTGTACACTCTACCCTTCAGGGCGAGAGTGATGTCGCGCCGGCGCCATAGGTGGCGAAGGTTAGCAAAAGCGCCTCGAGCTTTTGCTATACGGTTCGTGATCTCAGCTTTGATCCCAAGGGCGCTGATACAACTTCCTAGGTAGTTGAATTTTTGAACAACTTCTAGCTGATCCCCACCAAGGGTCAGCGCAGGAGGCGACCTCTGCCAATCTTGGAGGAAAGCTTTGCACTTTGATGACACAAATCAAAGACCGAAGCGGCTGACATCCAGTGCTAATCTGTTCAGTTCTGCTTGATACTTCTGGGAGCTGTCACAGATGAGGGCAATATCGTCAGCATACTCCACGTTAATAAGTCCTTCTTTTGGGAGCAGATCCACACCTTCTACGTCGTGTACTGTGAAGGTGATTTCCATGACTTCGTCAACAGCGAAGTTGAAGAAGAAAGGTGACAGCGGGCATCCATGTCTCATACCGCTGGAAATACTGATGGGCGACGACCGCTTGCCGTAAGCCGTCACGCTGTCCGTGCTACGCGCGTATAGTGCGCGGACAATACTTATATATTTCTCAGGTACACCTTTCCTGAGTAGACAGTCCCAAAGGGCACATCGATCAACCGAATCGAAGGCACCTTTGATGTCGAGGAACATGACTACGGTGGGCAGCCAATATATGTGACGGTGCTCCAACAACTGACTCAGTTAAGATATGGTCAATGCAGCCACGACCTCGACGAAACCTGGCCTGCTCCTCACGAATATGTCTTTCACAAGTGTCAGTCAGTCTGTGAAGGATTACAGAGGCAAGTAAATTGGAGACCATGGAGATCAAAATGATTCCTCTATGGTAGCCGCATTCTGATTGTGAGCCTCCTTTGAAGATAGGAACGATGACGGAGCGGCTCCAGTCGGTTGGGACAGTTTCCTGCTCCCACAGTTTCACTAGTAGCTCGTATAAATTATCCACAAGAGCTGGTCCCCCCAATTTGAAGAGGGCTGTATAAAGATCATCTGGTCCCATGGCTTTATCTAACTTTAACAATGCGATCTCACATTCGACCTCTGAGCGAGAATATATATATATATATATATATATATATATATATATATATGCAATATCCGGTCACCTAAATGGACAGCTGGTGTGTGAACCAACGGGCATAAGTGCGCGCCTGATGACTGTTCGCCTGCGACTCGGAAGAGGTAAATTTGCCACTTTTATAAGCACGTACGGTCCGACCATGTGTTATCCTGATGACACGCGCGTTCAATTCTACAGTCAGCTATACGCCATGATACGATCTGTAAAGAGGAGCGACCGACTATTTCTGCTGGGTGATTTCAACGCGCGCGTTGTGCGTGATGCATCGGTGTGGACAACCAAATCTATCCAACACCAGCCACAATGGCTCGCTTTTCCCCGTGTCAAATGCCTTGCTGAAGTCTACAAACAGCAATTACAATGGCTGGTGTCGCTCTCGCCATTTCTCCCGCAACTGACGAGTCGCGAACAACATATATGTGATGCTGCAGCCCGAACGGAGTCCACATTGCTCTTCCGCCACGTTCGGCTCAACGACCCGAGTGAGGAGGCGGTTGAGCAGGATTCGGGCGATCACTTTACCCACACAACTCAACAAGTTGATGGCACGATAATTCATGCAACAGTGCTCTTGTGCAGTGAGAGCACAAAGGCATCTTCAAGTCAGTCTGCACTTTCTCTTCAAGCCGCACGTGTCATTTGCAGGAGAAATACGTATTTTTTTCTTAGACACTGGTGGCCGTGCATGTTCACCGCATGGATTCCACTCCGATACCGAAACACTTGCTTTATGGCCAACTGCGTGCAGAGAAGCGAAGCGTTGGAAAACCGGAGTTACCTAATCAGGACATGATCAAGGTGAGTTTATCACAAACTAATGTTGAGTTCAGATGTTGGGAATCAAAGACAATTGATCGGCGCGAGTCGCGTGAGTTTATTAACAGGGCGGTTGCCCAGGTGCATGAGAAATCACTGCTACATGCAGAAAGGGAACGTCATGCACGGAAGCGTCAGGCGCCGATGGAAGATAGTTCATCGACATCGGGCGCATAGTTCTGTAGCACATACGACCGCGAGTGCCTGAGCCAAGCCGGCTTAGTAAACCACCAGCGTCACCACGCTGGTCGAACATCGAAGTGACGACGAGTTAGTTGAACCTGTGATACTCGGAACAGCGCTTGCTGCTTCCGATTCAATTTACTAACCCAGGCCAATGGTGCGGCCGATGTGGGACGTGTGATACATCATCGCTACAGTTGAACTGCGCGCGTTGAAGTTCTTGAATTTTAGGTGTTGGTTTTTGATTGATGTCCCGATGGGCTCAGCCTGATGTGAATGTTGAGTAGGTGTCTACATGTCTAACACTCTCCTACTGAAGGGAAAGGGATGCGCGGTCCTCGCGGCCGTGCTAAGCTCAAAGAGTGGTTCCAGGCATCCATTGTGGAGCCGCCTACTGCCCTACTGTACATCTGGTACGCATGATTCCTAAATTCGATAGACAAGAATGCTCCCACTGCTGTGCATGTCGAAGGAGTGTGGGTCAGCTCCGTTGATGAAACGTGGCTCCCATCCACATGCCTCCCGATCTTATTCCTTCGGAGTTACACTGGATATGGGGTGTGTGGGTGGTGCAGCGGAAGCCACCCATGGTCCCTGTGTAGGCGCAGGCGTCCTGTGTTTGTCCCCATGGAGGTCACAGTGACAGGTGAATCAGCAATCGGATGGCGCCAACCATACATACGTACCTACGTTTTTCCCAATTTAACGTAGATGATGTGCACGTTGGAGCACGAGACAGATCTAGGTTTGCTATGAATGTTGGGTGCATAATTCGGACGATCGACTGTGAGCGCAGGGTCTTGTGGCTGTTCGCGATCACAGTGACAGTCAGTGTGCAACTGGAGACCACAAATAATGGATTTCGAGGACACAACATACGGAAACTCGATGTAGGTTGAGAAAACTGAACTGTCGAGAAATCAGCTAGGTAAAGTGATAATGATGGAAGAAGTTCTGGTGCGTAACACAAGAAAGTGTCGAGGGCATATCGGGCCCGGCCAGTGTTCCCGGAATCACTGGTTGACGGAACACGGAATTTATGATTTCCAGTCCCCGATTTGATCATTGCGAAAAGCGGAACAAAAACGGAAAATTCCCGTTTAAGGTATCCACAAACATAAAAGCAGATATGGTATTTTCGATGAGCTACTCAGATGGAACTGGTTTTGGTACTCGAAAATAGTCGAGCGATGCTGCATCTCATTGGTACCATACGAGATGGACGACAGTATAAGAGTGGAACAGACAGTAGATGTGGCGCACGCATCACATGCGATGCAATAATGTGAACCTCCGCTCGAAAGCTTGACGATTCAGACAAATAATGGGTGACTCCCAGAGCTGGTAATTTGGATCATCCATCTGAGGAAGCGTTGGTTCTCGGGGGACTGTATCTCTGAAGTACTAGAGCGGAACGGCCTGGGATAAGTTGCTGTGTGGTTATTCGCACATATGTTGAGAGATGGAGGGAGTTCCATCCGAAAGTTGCGATTAGATGAGCTGACGAGGTATGTGAAGTGTTGGCTACAGAAGTCATCTGGCAGTACGCAGCTGCCTAATGCACTCGATCAATTACTGGCGACGAAAGAATCGGAAACAATAATGGGCGCCTAAGACGAACTTCAACAGCGCTATCGCTTGCATATAAGAGCATGCGTTTGCTACCGCAAAAAGAAGATAGTTGAGCGATTAAGAAGACCGAAACACCAGTGTCCAGTTCACCTAATGAAGATACAAAACATGTGACAAGATGATCAAAAGGCAAATACAATTGTCTGTTCTTCGGTACCCAGATAAAATAACAAAATAGTTGACCGACCAAAAGAGGGAGCGGAAATACACGTATCTGTTGGAGGTTTGAAAGGCGATAAAATCTGAATAAAAATAGGGAAATCTTGGTCTAGTTCACGCCAAAATTTTCTTCGGGACCGGGGATTCAAGATCAGTTAGGCGTTTTCTTATAAGGGGCTGAGGTGGAAGAAAACAGAGGGCAGATAATCGAATCGAAAATCGCGTAAAGAATTCTGCTAGAGACTACACATGCAAACAAAAGTGCATTGTGTAAATTGAGCAAACTTATCCCACTGACAAAGTGCTGACGCACATACAAGAGGAACTAGCTATAATAACTTGTTACGCTGTTTTGCATGATGTTATACTATTTGTACGACCTTGGTTTCAATATGCCATTATCTTGTCACTACAGATGCATACGTTGCCTTGTTAGTACACAGTCTATACGTATGCAGTTCTCTCTTCGACTAACATACGTGGCCTGTCAAGTATATGTTTTTCTATAAACGATTTTGTTCTCTCACCCAATTTCGGAAGTCTAGACACAGTGTACGCTCAACCGTAGCGGTCGTGGGCCAGAATACACACAGGGATTAGTGTGTTGGCTTGGACGCACTCAGGTTGTGGTGGAGGGCGCAAGCATAATTCCCTTAACGAACTATTGTAGCTCACTTCGACAGGGTCACAAGCAGTACAGGCCCCATGTCATGAGGTGGTGGAAGAGCTACTGATGACGTCACATGCATCGGTAATCACTATGTTAGGTAAACATGAAGAAAATACCACTTTGCAAGTGGCTCAGGGGAAACAACAACCATTAGGAGCCATGGACTAATAGAAACAAAGTCCTTAAATCGTACATGAGGTCCACCAACCTTATCACGAAGAAGTTTAGCTTGATCCTGATGAACGAAGTCGGTATTCGCAGGGGCACTGTTGGACTGGGGAAACTGTTCGGATGACTCATACCCATTCAAGAAGTGGGGCCCCGACGCTATGCAGGGCACTATACTTTCTGACGTAGAGGATTCGGTATTGGAAATCAATGCGTCCACTTCCTTCCAAATCTCCGGATCTCGAACCCAACGGTGTTCGAGCACCGCCTGAGATGAGAAAGTGTTCGAGGGGGTGAAGATTAACTGGATGCTAATGGAAGATGTGGTGAGAAGAAACGAAGGATTCTAAGCAGCTGTATTGGGTGGGCTACTGCGTACAAAGCATTAGGTAGAGGAGTGAGGCAGTACGAGCGACGTGATTGCGGCAAAAGCACACTAGGCCCCAAGTGTGGACTGTTCCGGAGAGTTACAAAGTGTTACCTGACAGCGGGTCTGATCAGCTGGACAAATGGAATAGAAAGGATGCTCAGCAGGTCAACGATCGATGCTTCAGCAAATGAATCTGCAGCAAAGATACCATAAAAGCCGAACTCGCACGAATCAAAGAGGCGCTTCTGGAAAATGGATATCCGGAGCGATTTATCGAGACCCATATAAAGGGATGCATACCAAAAGCATCAAAACAAACCGTTGAAAAGAAACAGCTTTACTTGACACTTCCATTCAAAGGAAATAGTGCGGCTGAAACATGCACACGCCGACTACAGCAAAACTGCAAAAAGACCTTTAATGCGGCTCAGGTGGATGTGATTTTCACCAGCAGACCTTTACTAGTTCCGAGATTCAAAGACCGAGTGCCTGATCATCTCCAATCGATGTTAATCTACCGGTTCACCTGCCCGTGCGGGGCCAGGTACGTTGGACGGACGACCAGGCATCTAGGTAAGAGAATTAAGGAACACCTACCAGGTTGGCTCTACACGCGCGAGAATAGAACAAACTACAGTGCGATTACAAACCATCTAATAAACACAGGTCACCAGATAGACAAACGAACAGCCTTTCAAATTCTCTACAAAATACCATCAAGACAAAATCATCGTCTAAGAGCAAGCATACTCGCCACCGCTGAGGCAATATGCATACGTCTCACAAATCCGAACTTGTGTGCTCAGAAGAAACTTATACAAACACTACAACTTCCCTGGCCGACCACCAGCCGTGAAGGAAGTAATGGTACTCCGCTAATTCACCTGACCTCAGTCACGTGATCAGATGAAGGCCATCACGATCACAAGTTAAATTGTCTGATCAATTGTTTCTTTGTTACACTAACGATTACAGCAGACGTTAACATAATGTATATTACTGTATGAGCCTGATGAAGAAGTAATCGAAAACAATTGTTTGCTCAAAGCTTCGTGTTTTGTTTATCTTTTGAACCTACATACTTAGTAGGGAGAACAGACACCATAACCACTCTAGCACACGACACAGCCAGCAATGAGTGGTGTGCGCGGGGTCCCTCGTGTGCGCGTGTATGCTTCGGTGTAGCACAAACTGCCAAAAGCACACGTTAGAAGAAACCCCGTGGTTAATTAATTCTTGCCATCAACGAACATACGTTTACTTATGTGTCGAACATGAATATGCGACAACCTAAAATTGAATAGACGATTCTCGCCTAGAATACTTCCGGCTGGATGGAGAGCGTTTAGGCGGAATGATGCAATGACAGAGAACAAACCAGGTTTCAAAGATCTAGCTAGACTCAGATGTAGAAGAAAACATCAAGATGCATGGGACCATATATCAACCATGCGCAGCTGAAATATGCTAGGGATGGTACTTCTACAACATGCACTTAGATCTGTTGGAATAGTGGGATAGATGACGCATAAGCTATGACGGAGGAGCGTACCAAATGCACAACCCACGCTCGCTGAGGATAGCAAACAGGAAGTTCTGGGCACATTAATGAGGAACCAGCCGAAATAACATGGCGCAATGAGTTTCGCTCAACTCGTTGATTTCGTAGACATTAGGACTCCAGATAGATTTAGAGCGCTACACCGAGACGGAATTTGGCCTGCTCAACGGACACACGAGCTATAGTCACGTGTACGTTCTGACAAGTAGTAAGTACTGCGAATAGGAACCACACAACTTGGCATTATCAGATGATGGAGTAGACATTTGCCCGATGACGAAAGGTATATACAGTAAGCAAAATAAAAAAGTGCTGTCGCCCGAAACAGTGAGGGTTTCCATTATGGGGGTTCCAAAGCTTAGCCAGGAGGTGAAAAACAACGATTCTAGTGTCTATATGACAAGGTAACTCGAGTTCCCCCTAATTTTACTGCAGACTCCACCATAGAGTGCTCCTAGGTGGGGTCTCACGATGTAGCCACAGAGGTCCTGCCCCGTGCAAAACTGGTTTACATGTGTTATGCGGAAGACGGTATCCCGCCATATGACAACCGTGGTACGGCGCAATCAAAAAGAGGAAAATAATCTAGAGTTGATTAATTTCCTCGCATGTGCTTTGCGCTTTTGAAGAGCAAAGCGCATCATGGAAAATAGCTGCATTAGCGAGAATCGACTTCGAACGTTCATCAGGGTTGACGAGTGGCAGATGAAGAGAACGTGTCTCAATATATACTCTAACCGACAAAAGTTTGTGCGCAGTCATGAATGAACGGGAGCAACTACCTTATTCATATGGACAAGAGCATGAAGAGTACTCATAGTTGATGACGTGAATGCTGAAGTGACCGGGACCACAACACTAGAGGCGGCCTCGGTGTGCACATTTCGTGATCGATATTCGTAAACTATCGTTAAAACAGTAGTCTGCTTCTCAACGTGCAAGTCCCCACGTGTTACCTGGCTTCTGACGAATTGTGTGCTGCCCTGAATTTAGCTAGAATACACTGCCAGCAGCTACAAATGATGCATGCTGGTGAAATATCATCGGTCGCTCTTGAGTTTGCAGTTAGATTCCGATCGTGTCCCAGGGTGCGCGCCCGCAGAGCGCTCATTCTCCCACCCTGGTAATTCATCCCATATCGAGCATGCGTAATAGTCATCTGCGAAACACAATACTAAATGTAATGATACAAGGGTGAACTGACTCAACTGTCACTAAGTAGCGAGGTGAATGAGCCAAATAGTAATTGAAATGGCATCAAATGTATCAAGAAATAGGGTACGGAAGCGGTTTTCCCGCCAAATTTGATGGGGCTGAACTATAGATGGATCTCTTAATAGTCCCTTAGTTTGATTGTGGTACATAGGTAGGTTCAGCTTGGTGATTAGCTGCAGAATGCATGCGAAATTTTAAAACGGTGTCAGGATACGGGGAGGTGTCAGAATCGACCAGCAGTGTTGGTGATTGGTGAGAGAATATGCGGTGTAGAAAGCCCGTGTCCGGAAGATCAGCCAAGTACAGATCCCGTTCATCCGAGTATGGGTTTAAGAAGTCTTTCGGCTAGTCCAGAAATAGATTATCTGGTGTAAGATACATAGACCAACCGTTAGGTGGACTATCTTGAAGGGAAGTCCAGAAAACCCGAGGTAATGCCATTGTTTAGGGAACCATCCGAAATCGCGCGGGCAGGTGATTTCACGTCTCCAACTATGGAAAAGATTCGACGTGAGATTACTCTATTAGCAATAAAAAGCACCTAGAATCGACGGTATTCCCTTATCGTTGCTGAACAATTGAGTAGTCGTTAATGGCTAGTCTAGGCGCGTTGTATAGATTAGTAAGGGATACTCAAGAGGCACCTTCCGACTGATGATTAGTGGTAGACATCGCTATTTCTAAGAATGAACGTGATGGCATAAGTCTGATCGAAATGGAAGCAATCGCTCACTGGATCTCATGAGAGTCGAATATGTGGAAGCTAGACTAGCCTCTGCAACAACGACATAATAATAATAATAATAATAATAATAATAATAATAATATGTCGGCTGCACGCCGTAACGGCGCATCGCTGCCGCCCGACGACCACCAGTCGAATGTGAGCTGAGTATACAGCGAGGACACCCACCCATACGCGGATTGGAACCAGTAACCTTAAGGTTGCAAAGCAGGCGCGCAAAGCATTCGGTCATCGGCTGACAGACGCATTCACTATATATATGGAATTCAGTAGATGCCGAGACAGAGAATATACACAGACAACCAATCATGGTGATTTCTCTTGATCTTGATTTCTCTTGATCTATATCCAGAGCTAAAAGTAGTATCAGTATCTGTTGGGGTTAAGACCAATCTAAATAGAATCAAAGTGAGTGTTCGAATCCCAGATGATGTAGCTGAATATAACCGAGAATGCGTTGCGCATTCACAATCAGAGCAAAATGCATAGATCAGATTTGCGCGCAGAGGCTAAGAAGTGAAATCCGGACACTTACGGAGAAGGGTAGTTGTCGTTTGATTGGAGGAGCCACCGTATTATTTTGGAACCCTCTACAAACCATCAGAGGAAAAGTGAGCGAACCTTACGGCGCTGGACTAATTGTTATTGAGTAGGAAAAGTAGACAGAATTTCGATACCACTTTATGCAAGTCAGGGCAGTTAAAATAGGCACTGCATATCAGTAACGAGAGATTGTCGGGTTCAGGTCCTATGTTTAACCTCAACAGCGCCAGCTCGTGTCGGACCCTATCGACGGTGAGAGGGGCGAAAACATACCCTAAACGGGTCGGGCGGTGCAAGAAGCGATATCATCTGATCGGCCCTTCGAAGTGCTTCACCGAGTGTTCAAACCCTAGTACCTAAGAATCGATTAGTTGTCCAGTTGTCTCAGATATCGACTTCCGTGGGCCCGTGATGGGATAGGTCGAGTAGCGAGCCTCGGTGTTACTCAACCAATGAGTCCACCGCAGGTAAGTCAGAATTGCGGAAGTCGATCTTCAGATAAAAGCACGATGACAATGCACTTAAGTAGAAAAGCTCACATGTTGTGGAAACAGCATGAAGTTACAGAGCGTCCAAACACATTAGATGGGTCAGGAGGATCCGGTGACTAACAAAAGCATGATACGAGAAGCGACAATCATGAACGATGGAACCACTGGCGGACCAACGTTAAGTGGTTTCCATAGGGGTGAATAAGTTGTTGAACAGAGTGAACAACACAAGCACCCTTTGTAGGGCGGATAGTTTACTTGAGGAATATGTCAGCTGCGTTCATCAACTCTCGACATGAGATCACAGAAAACGAACTCGATTAGAAGTCAGAGAAACGTACGTGTTAGCTGAATTTTCAACTAAAATCCATGACAGTACTCTGGAATATCTTGCTGTGCGGCAACGGTAAGATAGTATTTCGTCCCACCACTCGAAAAAACATGTCCAAAAACCGTTGTGCAATCTAGGAATTTCAGCCGGACGGGATCCATGTTTCAGTCAGACGAATCGTTACATGGTCTGCAGTAATAATGACCCGATTCGTGTTAACTTACTGGTTAAAGGACAAGTAATGTGTCGAGACCTATGTTTGGCGGACTTGTGATGCGTAAGTGGCATTCAAGCCGATAATGTTAATGTCACATTGCGCGGCGGAACGCATCTTATAAAAAATGGAATCACCAGATGATGGAAACAAGTGAATTTTATACTTCACGAAGGTAAATATTTGGTCGTAATATTATAGCACTTATGTATCCCAAAAACAAAGCGTGCAGCACTCGCTTATTGAGATGAGTCACATCCTGATTCACACAGGAAATGGTTAACTAACCAGAGATAGTCGGTATAATCCGAGGATAGGAGTGAATGCAAACCCAAGGGGGACTAGTTGCAAGATGCGACAAAACAGGCAAGTTTCTGATGGTGGATAACATCTAAGCCGGATTGAAAACGAGGGGACCAGTCAGACAGGCTGATGTACATACAGGGATTGTGTAAGCACGAAGTTAGAACGGGTGAATTCGTAGACTTCACTGAAGTCAATTCTGTTTGACAGGAAATAACGAGAGATCATACCTGAATGGTCAGTCGATCGGACGGCTCAACTGTCAGCATTTTGCTTATCAAGTCTCGAGCATCATCGCTGATCCCATTCCAGTAGGCGGCGGGAAAGTCATATCGACCTTCAGTGATTTGAGTATGCAAACAACAATCTTGTCGTTCGTCACTGAACGGAGGGTAACCAACGAGACTGAAAAAAGTGGGTAAAGTTACATAAGTGGAAATTAGGCCTCGATTTGTCTTTGGAGTCTTGCAAGGTGTGAATCGACAACGGAAACGTGTCCGATGATGGAGCAAGTTGGGTGAAAGAAAAAGTGAGGATTGGAGCAGACCAAAGGTACAGCAGAAACACATGATACAGTGGTGCAAAATTAGTGAACACGTGACATGACTGCCAGAGTCATAGATGCATGCACGATAGCTGGCTGTTTGTGACAATACGTTGTTGACAAGGTGAAGGCGCCTTGACCCTGCATATTTGCTTAGAGTACTAAGGATTTATGCTAGATCCTCCTTCTCTCCTTGTTATTATTCGTCATTCCGTAGGTCGCCATGTATGTACGGCAGCGAAGCCTCAGTTCAAATGGCTGATGTAATGGTATTGATGACGATGATGGCATAGGTGTATCTATCCGCAGTGAGGTAAGAGGATTCAGACAGTTCAAGGAGTATAGTCGTGAATTGAGTTCAGCCCGTGTCATCAGCCTAGATTCGTCAGTGCGCATGTGCCGTTCACACTATGTCCCGGGCAGCCTGATTCACTCTTGTCCGCAATTATGTTGCACTTTGTCGCGCCCCTCTGGCCAGTGTGCTTGTAGTCATCTCGACCAGGTGACGTTTCATTGACCTCCAATCTACGAGCTCCGCGCCGACCCCGTTCACTCGTGATTCTAGCTACCAGCACAAGTGACCTGGCTGCAGTGTAACAAATAAAGTAAATACGCGTGACTAAATCTTGAAAAGTTTCACTGGTTTGTTGTTGACCAACATACTTGCGATCCTCTTAGAATCGGTGCATTACATCGCACTTCGCTCTATGGTGCTTGGACACACTATTAACCACTTGCACGCAACGTGTATATGATATCCAGGGCCTGGAGCCTCTGGCAATTGGTGACCACCCGATGATGATGATTCGGTAAGACGATTTCTATCGCCAATTGAACGAGCTCCTTCGCCACAGAAAAAGCTCGAACATTGTTGTGCTGGAGGGGGATCTGAACGCACAAGTTGGAATATTATCACCTGATGAGCTGCATCTGGACGGCCAACATGGTGTAGGCTCCCGCAATGATAACGGTGAGCGGTTACTTCATTTGTGTGAGGATGCTCGCTTATTTCTTGTAAGCACTAATTACCGACACAGCACCCGCCGGATGGTGACTTGGCGCCAACCAGCCTCGAACCAGCTATGGACGCAATTCGACCACACTGTGATAAGTCATCGGTGGAGAGGCTGCGCCAAGAACTGTCACTCGATTTGGAGCACATGCGTAGACACAGACCATGCACTTGTATGTGCTGACCTGCGGATGTGCTTTGGCGGACGCCCACGACGACGCTGTGAGCGCATTGACACCAGCCAACTGACGAAACCAGCTGATCTGAATGCCTATCAAAGTACGCTGTCATGCGAGTTGAGTAAGCGCTCACTGGATGCAGTTAAAGCTCACTGGTCTCATATTCATCAGACCTTACCAGCAGCAGAAAAATCCTCATGTGGTAAGTCGAATCGCCAATATGGACATTGGGTGTCTTCGCAGTGTCTGGAACTTATCGATGCTCGCCGGCATAGTCCGGCTGGAAGCGAACACAATGAAACTCGCAAAGAGCTCAGGGCAAAAATCCGTGCTAGCCTGAAGAGAGACCGCGAATCTTGGTGGTCTCGTCGTGTATCAGAGATGGAAACCGCCGCTGCCCTCGGATGATACGGGAAACGGGCAGCAGGAGACCTGGTGTTAGTGAAACAATTTGTGACGTGAGTGGACAGCCTATTCACAACTTGTCAAAATGTACACAGCGTTGGGTTGAGCACTTTGAAAGGCAATTTAATCAGTCGGAATTGGTAGATTTCTTGCCGTTCACTCATCGCCCCGCTCCCTGGGCTGTCCCTCTGGATCCACCCTCTCGTTTTGAAGTCGAAAGTGAGATCGGACGGTTGAAGTTACATAAAGCCGCGGGACCAGATGATCTATCTCCACGCCTCCTCAAATTCGGGGGACCTGCTCTAGTGGATAGTTTATACGAGTTACTAGTGAAACTGTGGGAGCAGGAAACTGTCCCAACCAACTGGAGCAGTTCCGTCATAGTCCCAATTTTCAAGGGAGGCTCACGATCGGAATGCGCAGCCATAGAGGAATCAGTCTGATCTCCATCGCCTCCAAATTGCTTGCATCTGTCATCCTTCACAGACTGGCTGGCACTTCTGAAAGACATATTCGTGAAGAGCAAGCCGGGTTTCGTCGAGGTCATGGCTGCATTGACCATATCTTCACTTTGGATCAGTTGTTGGAGCACCGTTACACATATTGGCGGCTCACCGTAGTCGTGTTCCTCGACATCAAAGGTACTTTCGATTCGGTTTATCGATGTTCACTTTGGGACTGTTTACTCAGGAAAGATGTACCTGAGAAACATGTAAATATTATCAGATCATTATACACGCGTAGCCCAGGCAGAGTGAGGGGTTACGGCAAGCTGTCGTCGCCATTTAATATCTCCAGCGATGTGAGACAAGGATGCCCGCAGTCACCTTTCCTCTTCAACTTCGCTATTGATGAAGTCATGGAAATAGCGTTCACAGGACACGACTTAGAAGGTGTGGATCTGCTCCCAGAAGAACGACTTCTTGACGTGGAGTATGCTGACAATATTGCCCTCATCGGTGACAGCTACCAGACGCGCCAAGCTGTACTGGACAAATTAGCACTGGTTGTCAGCCGCTTCGGAGTTTGCTTTGCACCATCGGAGTGCAAAGCTTTCCTCCAAGATTGATCTGGACCGCCTCCTACGTTGACCCTTGGTGGGGATCAGCTAGAAGTCATTCAGTAATTCAACTACCTGGGAAGTTGCATCAGCGCCCGTGGGATTGAATATGAGATTACGAATCGTATAGCGTAAGCTCGAGACGCTTTTGATAACCTTCTCCACTTATGGCGCCGGCGCGACATCACTCTCGCCCTGAAGGGTAGAGTGTACAATGTAGGGGTACGTTCGACCCTACTGTACGGTTGTGAAACCCTTAGCTTAGCACATATAAAGAGGCTAGTTACGTTCGACCACCGGTGCCTTCGCAATTTGACTCACATTTGGTGGGAACACCGCGTGAGCAACGAGCGTGTTCGACGACTGGTTTACGGCACAGAAAAGGGAAATGAACCGCTCAGCACCGTTATTTCACGCACCAAGCTCCGATGGCTCGGCCACGAGTTGCGCATGCCAACCCACCGGCTCCCGCGACGTGCGTTGTTTGCTCGCCTGGGGTGTGAATGGAAGAAAAGGAGGTGGCCAAGCAATGACTTGGTCGAGAGGAATAAAGGTGCTCACTTCGAAGCTGGCATCGGTTTGAGCGTCGCTGGTTGGGGTCCGAAAGACGATGAACACGTTTGGCTGGATACACTTGTTGATATGGCTAGGAGCCGACCTCAGTGGTGTTTGTGCTGTGAGTTTCTTTGTCGCACCCCATCCTTTTTGGCCTCCCCCTCCCACCATGATCTCATTATTTAGCATTTTATAATTTTGCATAGTAAATTATTTTGGTTCGGCTGCATAGTAGCCGACAGATAGCTTACTGGAATGATGCCTATCCGTTACCGTTAGCTCAGCTGGCTTGCACCTGTTGCATTTTATTCTCTGTTTTCTTCTAAGTATTGCGGCACAGTAGCTGAGGTGTCTCCCACCTCTAGCGAACGTGTATAGTGTGGCCACCCGATGGACCTAACCAGGCTGGAGCTGCCACTGCCCTACTCGCGTCCGCTAGAGCCATTCTACAGTTACTTGAAGACGGACTTTGATGGTCTCAATCGAGCCGCCAGTGAAGTGGACTGGTCGCTAACGCAGGATTCATCGTTTCGTACCCTACAAATATAAGAAAGCTGGACCAGTGAAGCCACATTGGCTCGACAAAGAGTGTAGCCAACTAGCGAGACGGCGACGCGTAGTATGGGAGAAATTCCTCGTGTCTAGCTCTATCGGTGATTATGAGGCCTACAAGAGGCAGCGGAAGCTATGCAACAGCGCAGAAGCACGGAAGCATCGACAGTTCGAAATGGAGCTCGCAACCTCAGCGAACTCGGCCCACAAGAAGATTTTTGCTTACGATGCATGAGGCCCGTAAATGACCTAACAGTGTTAGAGAACTCGGGTAGAGAGGCTCTGACTTCCGGCACTGAACGTGCATCCGCATTGGTGGCGCACTTCGCTTCCGTATTTACAGGTGGGCATGCGCGTATGCCAAACTCGACGTGTGAAGCTCCTACGGAACTCGAATGTCTGGAGTGCGATGTGAAAGATGTCCGCAGTCTACTCGCCAGTCTTGACGGCACAAAGCTTGTTGGACCCGACGGCCCCTACCCGCCTGCTGTGACTGATCTGTTCAACAGATCGTTGTCTGAAGGTGTATTGCCGAGCGACTGGAAATGCTCGGTAGTGAAGCCGATCCCGAATGGCGGTGATGCGATTAAAGTGAACAATTACCGATAGATTTGGCTGACCACAATTTTGGCGAAAGTGCTCGAGAAGACTGTGAAAACGGGTCTTCGCCAGCTATTAGAGTCGAAAGACCACAGCACGGTTTCATGAAGGACGCTCCTGCATCACCAACTTGCTGTTGACGCGGCACGGATGGTTGCAGGTGTTGAACTACGGAAAATTAGTAGATGTTACTTACGTTGATTTCAGTAAAGCTTTCGAGAAAGTGAACTATCAATGTATTGTTTATTAGGAAAAAATGGCGGGTACAGGTGGAGGACCACTTAAGCGAATGGTACCCGTTCACTAGCAGCGTACCCCAAAACGCAGTAGTGGGGCCACACCAAGGAAGCACCTCAGCTTCTTTGATCGCCTTGCGCATTGCTTGCCGACGTTCGGGAGAGTTGGATGGTTATTGATTCTCCCGACGACCGTGGCGTCCCTCAGAAGGACTTCAACCGCCTGTCCATGTGCTCTGTGGAAGTTGATCTGCCAATCAACGCGGCCAAGTCGTCATTCATGAGTTTGGGGAAGGATGGTAATGGGCGTATGTACACCATAGCCAATCAACCGCTATACCCCACAAGCTGCGTAAAGGATCTAGGTGTACTCTCACGCTGTGATCTGAAGCCCGTCGACAACACGAAGAGAATGTACGGAAACGGATTATGTCTGCTTTGGGCACTTAGACGCAGCTTCTGCACTTGGTCTGAAGAGATTGCCACTCGCCTGTTCTCTTCCATGATTAGACCGGTGATTGAGTATGGCTCACCAGTCTATCGTTCGATCACAATAGGTGAAGTGCAGAGACTGGAACGAGTTCAGCATGTAGCTACCCGGCTCGTCCCCTGTTTACGGGGTATGTCGTAGGAGGCCCGATGTAGGAGACTAGGGCTGCATACCCTGTCATATCGTCGGTTTCGAGTTGATCTCATGAAGACGCACCGGATATTGCATCTGGACCACTTGCTCATGCTGAGACTGCTGCTGCACGTTCGCGGAATAAGCAGCACACACGGATACCGCCACAAACTGGTGATCCCGGATTTGAAACGTATCGCTCACCCTCTATGCTTCGAGAGTCGAGTGGTGAAATATTGGAACAAGTTAGTAGAGACAATAGTCGAGGCGAAATCGGTGTCGAAACCTAAAACAGCTTCCTCGACACTCACGTCGCGGATCAAAGGTATAGGTAGCGTATCGCACCGGGATAAGATGTAGTGCAGCTGTAATATGTTGCCACCGCACAGGATTAGTGATGTGATTCCCTGCAGGTGCTCGATCTAACTAAGACGGGACAACAGAGACTTGTATTTCCTCGTTCTCTAATTTCAGTATTCATCATCATCATCATCACCACCACCATCGTCATCATCATCATCATTATCAATCATCATTGTAACAACGATACGAAGCCTAAACTGAATACGTCGTACGAAAACTAAACTAGAAACTATGAACAAATAAAGCTAGATTTAACGCACGGTCTGAGCAGAAGAATAAAAGGAAGTATTCTGCAACCGTGGTTCTATAAGGCATATCAAATACAGTACATGACTTACGAATAGGTTTTGCAATCGTAATGCAAGTGGGCAGAAACTGTACAGCGTGCGGCGGAGCGTGTAGTTGGGCAGTGTCACAGTAACATAATAATATGAATGACCTTGAAACGTCAAAGATATGTCAGTGATCGAGTGAAAGGAATAAATATACGAATGCTAACCGCTTGTAGGACACAGTAAAGCAATGTGAATAAGCAGAATAATTAGGGAATAGAGATACCGTGTCCTCATATAAGTAATCCAGGTTGGGGATACATCAAAGTTTCTTTTGGACTTTACAACCCACCACCACCATCATCATCGTCGTCGTCATCATCATCATCATCGTCAAACGTTACATGTAGGTGAAAAACACCTCAGCTAACATGCCACAGTGCAAAAAATATAAGAGTACAAGTTACAGACTACAAAAAGGTGTATAAAACAAGCAATATAATGTTATATATCATATTACGTATTTGGTGAGATCACAATTGGAGGGGGAATCTAAAGGAGATGGGATCGGCTCTTTGTCAAGTCAACTAGCGTATATAACCAAACGTGTTCATCGTCCTTCAGACCCCAGGCGGGCAGTCAGGATGCACACGGACGCAACGTCGAAGTGGGGGACTTCATTTCTTTCGACCAAGTCATCGTTTGTCCTACCGTCCTCCTCTTCAATCCAAACCACCGGCGTGCAAAAGTACGTCGCGGGAGTCAGTGTGCAGGCATGCGCAACACCTGGCCCAGCCATTGGAGCCTGGTGCGTGGTACTGAGCGATTCACCCGCTCTTTTATGCACCAAATACGCAACACCGAACACATTCATTGCTCACGTGGTGTTTCCACCAGACATGAGCTGAACTTGGAAAGCAGCAATGGTCGAAGGTAGCTAGCTTCTTTATGTCTATCGACCGGATGAGCCACATTTCGCAACCATTCAGAAGGGTTGAACGGACGGTTGCATTGTAAATTCTGCCCTTCAGGGCGAGAGTGATGTCGCGTCGGCACCATATGTGGGACGATTGGCAAAAGCATCACGAGCTTCTGCTATACAGCTGGTGATCTCACCTTCGATTATACGGGTGCCAATATAGTTGCCCAGGTATATGAACTCCAGTAGGACTTCTAGCTGGTCGCTACCAAGGGTTACAGCAGGAGTGGGTCCCTGCCAATTTTGGAGGACTTTGCAATTCGAGGAGCAAAGCAAAGCCCAAGACGATTGAAAGCAGTGCAAATCTGTCCGTTGTCACTTTTGAGAGTTATCACAGGGTACTGTAAGCTAAAAATTCGCTCACCTAGGAGCATCTCCACAACTTCTAGGTTGTGTCCAGTGAACAACATCTCTGACTTTGTCAATAGTGAGGTTAAAGAGGAAAGGTGACAGCTGGCAACTTTATCTCACACCGCTGGGGATAGTGAAGTGCTGCAGCAGTTTGCCATAAACCCTCAATCTTCATGAACTGTGCGCGTAGAACGCTTTAATGATGTTTGCGTACTTATTGGGCACACTTTTACTGAGCAGACAGTCCCAAAAGGCACATCGATCAATGGAATCAAAGGCACCTTTGATGTCGAGGAACACGAATATGTTGGGTGGCCAATAAATATGGCGATATTGCAACAACTAAGATAAAGTGAAGATGGGGTCAATGCAGCCATGATTACGACGAAACCCAGCTTGATTCCCATGAATCTGACTTCCACGAATATCACAGTCTGTAGAGAACGACAGACGCAAGCAAATTAGAAGTAATTGAGACCAGACTGATTCCGCTATGACTGCGGCATTCCGAACGTGAGCCTCACTTGCAAATTGTGACTATTATGTAGTGGCTCCAATCCGCTGGAACAGTTTCCTGGACCTACAGCTTCAACAGTAAATTGTGCAAATCATCTGCAAGAGCAGTTTCCCAGGATGTGAAGAGAGCTGGAAGAAGTCCGTCTACTCCAGCGACCTTATCGAATTGCAACAGTCTGATGTCAGGTTTGACTTATGCGCGTGAGGGCGGATTCAAGACGGCCAATGGAGAAGGGCAATCCACGCCTAAAGTGATTGACTGGACTGCCTCCAAATTGTTCGGCTCAACGCTCCGTTTTGACAAGCTATGGATTGGCTATCCACTCTCATCACATATATAATTTCACTAACATCTGGTCTCCTGCTTCTCGTTTCCCATTTCGGACGGAATAATCAAAGGCAGTGGATGCTTCCATCTCCGATGCACGATGCGACCACCAGGATTTACGGTCTCGCTTCAGGCTAGCACAGAGTTTTGCCCTGAGATTTTTGCGTCTCATTATGTTCTCTTCCAGGCGGAATACGTTGGCGATCATCCAAAAGTTTCAGACTGTTTAGAGACCCAACGTCCATGTTGGCAATTTGGTGTCACATGAAGACACATCTGCTGATAGTAACGTCTGGCGAATATGCGACCAGTACTCTTCAACGGTGTTCAGTGGGCGTTTACAACCCGGATGCCAGCGTACTCTGATACGCATTCAAAACACCTGGCTTCATCAGTTGGCTGGTGTCTATGAGCTCACAGCGACGTTGCGGAAGCACGCCGAAACACCCGAAAGTCGACACACGCACACACAAGAGCGTGATCTGAGTCTACGCTCGTGCTCCAGATAGAGCAACAATTTTGGACGCCGCCTCACCATCAGTAACCGATCGCGATGTGATCGATTTGCGTCCATGGCTGGTGGGCGCCATGCCACCCTTCGACGGGTGCTGTGTCGGAAGTTAGTGCTAGCGAGAAAGAGATGGGTATCATCACAGAGGTGTAGCAACCGTTCAATGTTATCACTAGGGGAGGCTACACAATGCTGGCAGTCCAGATGAAGCTCATCAGCGTACAGTTTTCTAACTTGAGCGTTCGAATCACCAGCCAGCACCACAGCATTCACACTTTTCCTGTAACGAAGGAGCACCTTCAGTTGGTGATAGAAGTCATCTTTCCCCGAGTTAACGCTACAGTTTGTGGGTGCATAGGCTACAATCACTGTTTGTCCCCACGCAACTTCGATGCTTGGAACGAACCCGCCAATCTAACAGCGTACATCCGGCTGTTCGTTGGGATCCAAGACATCAGGGCAGATTCAGCCTGGGGGCTAACAGCTATGCTTAAACCGGCTTGACCAGCATTTAAAGCCCCCTTCATTTCCAGACAAACGCAATGAGAAAATACCGCCAGCGTCGCACGTTGGGGATCAGAAGGTAATCACAGAATTCGAATGTTGCAGGCGAGTTTATGACAAGCAGGAGATATCGATTGATAGGGTCTCAACTGCTTGGGCAAGTGCTGCCAGTTGGCCAGTTTGCAACAAAGTGCGCACATTGAAGCATACCGGTCTTAGGGAGGATCGAGGGCTCGAAATGGAAACAGATGAACTGACTTTCTACGTTTGGGTGGACATGAACTTGTCGACTGGACCGGAGCGAGGCGATTGCGTGTGAATGGAAATTAGAAAACGAAGAACTACTGAACAAAGATGGGAAAGGGCTAAGAATTGGAAAATTGAAAAAAGTGGGATAAAAGTTGGAACGGGGCCACAAGGATGAACAAGTGCGAGAGAGGGAATAAGAAGAGGGGAAGGTTTGAACAGTAGCATCCAAACTCCTATCCACCCTGTTCGATTCAGCAAAGAGGGCGTCGTTGATGATCCTCTGCGACGACCAGAGCACAGGAGGCTGCTTGGAGGAATATCCAAATGTGTAGACAATATATGGGTGTGAACTATTAGTTGTTCTAGTGGTCAATTTTGTAAGGTTGTGAGGACGTGCCCTAGTTAGGCTGCTAGAGACAATGTTAATGATTCGTTCAACACAAAAAGGTAGAAGAAATCGGTGAAACTCACCACACGTAGAGAATTACTCCTAGAGACCAAACATCGATCGCAGAAGTATACGTCCCTGAGCCTGCAGTTAGCAGGACTTCGGGCGCCAAGTAGGTCGGAGTTCCACAGAAAGTACGCAGCATTGTGTTTCCATCGACAAGTTTTGACAAACCGAAATCCGTCACTTTGATGAGGCATCGGTTTTCACTGCTTGATAGAAGAATATTTTCCGGCTAAAGTAGCAAGATGGTTTAGTGGAAGTAAATGATGCTGTATAGTTATGAGAAATGCTATGGGGGAAACTCCTGATGAGTTGACCACGAATAAGTTAGTCGATTTAAAGTTCCATAAAAATCTAATTGATTAGGAAAATTGGAGAGAAACGAAATAACGAGATAGTGCAAATGTGAGAATTTTAACGTTATGCATATCAGCTATAGACAAAACCAAGTTTTCACCTGTCTGTAAACTGCGTAGAGGTTGGTTTAGTTCACGGTGATCGTGACGTTGGTCAGACAAATTAGGTGACTATTTTGCGACCAATGCTAACCATAACAAGAGGACTAAAGGGGCATATTTTTAAAGCTAACAAATCACGGAATAGCTATAGGCAGTTTTATTCAGGATAGAGCACGTGAGGGTGAATTACTAGTGAAGATGCTACCAAGGAACAGTGGATGCGTCAAATCCCAAAACGAACAAGACTAGGTTAGGGCATATTTATGCAATGGCGCAAGCTGTCTAGACAAAGATAGCAGACAAAACCTGTAAACAAGTTTCAAATGTCCTATCATAAACGGCTAGCAAACCCATTTTTAACAGTTGCCGATGCCAGAAATGTGCAGCAGCTTGGATGGGCGAAGAGAATGGTTTCGGACTCCAAGTTTGGTCAAAAGTTGCGGCTACCGATCATCACGGAGAGGAGTATCAGCAAGCCAGATTAGTATCAGCATATTAGCTGATAATGTTATCCGATGATCAAGCCTGTTTCTTGGTTTCGGAGCATATAGAACTCGACCGGATGATGCCAAGTGGCTGGGGACGACCGCTTAGTCTTTGGGGCTAGAATAGCAGCAGAAGTGGACGTTCACTTTACGTCTTAGCTGTGGTCGGTTATACAAAAGCTGGCACTTGAGATCCAAAATCCTGGAGTTCGGACTACGTAGATCACAGCTTTCACGTCACAATCAGTATTCGCTACTACGAACAAGAATTAGGATCAGTAAAACACTGTTGTCTGAAGTATTGTGGTGGAACAATCGTGAATATGCAAATAATAGCGAGGAATTTAAGAAAGTGCCACGATTACAACGCATACGGTCCTAAGGAAATGGTGGAAACGTGGCGTGTGAGATAGAAAGGGCATAAAGGGGAACAAACAATGGGGTGATTCACAGATTGAAGGGTAGAGGAAATGGGCGAAGATTAAACCATCAAATGCCGCTATTTGCTTCATGAGGCTTGCCTTCAAATCGCGATGAGTGATTCCATGTTCATGAAGATACTGCAATAAGGAGTGAAGCATAGGCAACATCAAGACAGTGAGGAAATTAAAATTAATACTGTAAAGTAGCAAAAATGATAAGCAAGCCATTGTGATTATGCTCCCCAACTGCGTATAAAAGGGTAATTCGAATGCGGAACCGGTTAGAAAGCGCCGTTATAGAGAAAAAAGGAGAGTACTCAGATAATTAACCGGGAAAAAAGCCGCTGGTATTCCAGTAGTCGAGTTGAGTTACCAGTCAAACCATTCAGATTCTTGTTGTGGTAATCCAGGTAACCCGAGTTACCAAACCCCAAAATAACAGAACTTGAAAGCTGAGCCAGCTGCAACCATAACCGGGAAGTAACGGATAGAAAGCTATCGTCCTGTGTGTCTAAAGCGTTGTCCCGGCGAATTCACCGACGAAGACTGAATACATTCGTTCACTTGGTGGTGAGAGTTTCTAGTCAACTGAAGCAATGTTCCGCAAATGCTAACAGCTTTATATCTGGCATATTTCAGACGTTCTCCACTGCCATATTTTCTCTTAAGAATACATCACGTGTGTATGCAGGGTTAGACTTAGGCCGAACCAGGAAGCTATCATTGACCCGTCGATCAGTGGAACATAGCATGCTGGCAACGATGATCACCCACTGTACAAGAGTACAGCACTAACGCAACGTAATGTAATCTACTGAAGTAGGCCCAATTGGCTTCAAAGCCACAATTGCAAGAAAAAGTAACTGTTAGGAATCAAATGGATCCACTCACAACATCTTTCTCGAATTGATAGTGAAACCAGCGGATCTTTGCATATAAAACGCGTCCATGGCAAACAATAATTTACAGGTTACCGGTTGAACCCCATCAGTGGCGGATCTAAGGATCATCGGTCGCAGATGGCGGCAGAAAAACGCAATCGTTGAACAGTGATTTGGTACCAACCATTCTAAGCTAAGTGGCATCTAGCTATCTAGAAGCGAACATAGTCGAACTCGTCCGCGAGCGACAGTAGCAACGAGTATATAATTTGGTACTGTGGAGGAGCACGTACAGATAAATTTAAGACATTAAAAGAAGTGAGTGGAGCCAACCTCAAGTGGACCCCAGTGAAGCTCAGCAACCAAACTTTTGACAAGCAACAGTTGCACCTAATTTTGCAATTCGTATTAAAAATACACCTGGATAGTGGAGCTTCGATGCTGATCTGTTCACGACTGGTTTCACTTTAATTTGGACTCTTCATGTGGAAGCTAGCCTGAGTTGAGAGTGGAACCTGGCTCGCACCTTAATCACTAGGCAATTGTGCTCTGCGAGCAGCGCTTTACATAGAACTGGATACTCTTTTCAGGCAACAGTATCGTTTTAAATGGAGTGTTTTAATGTCCAAATTTTGTACTTAGGTTACACTGTGCTTCTGAACACGCCCACAAGACTGCAGCGTCCCAATGGACTGTCGATCACTCTAGTTGGATTACAATGGTGATGGCTTTAGTACACGCGTCTCCGCTACTATCTATGCGGTGGTTCGAAGTAGTGTATTGGCTCTGTATTTCAATAGGAAGAGCTGCTAAGAGCAATCGCTGGCTTATGACTCCAGTGAGAAGTCCCATTAGAGCGAACAATTAGTGGTTCATGACGCCCATCGTTTGTTGCTTCGATTTTCGTCTGCACCAGTTGCAGCCCAAAATCTATCCGAGATGAATCCTATCAGCAACTTTTGTCCATCATCTGTTTGACCAGAATCGTCGGTACTCTGGCCGCCGCTAGGAGCCTGGATGCATGACGGCCACTTGCATAAAGCCGATAAGATGACATTATTAGTTGTTGTGATGGCATGGACAGAATTCATTCTGGTCCAACAGGACACAGAGGCCGTCCCGTGGCAACGGGCCAGTAGCGTCCTGGGCGTTCAAATCAGTAAACGGATTACTGCGTGCATCTGAAAGATTCCTGTGACTACTTGAAGGACGAATCCCCTATAGAGGCTGCGTGACTACGGCTCATTGAGCAAAAATGGGGCGCGCGAAGTCCCAGCATGATTAGTGTTACCTTGAGAAGCAGAGGCACGGTCACTGTATGCTGATGGTAGTTAGAGACTAACTGTCGTTGACCAGGAAGTTGGCAATGGTGGTCACCCAAATTCGTGGCAGATGGTAACATGTCTGTGGCACCGCAACTAAGTGATATTCTGGACTTGAACCGCCTAACTTGGCCATATCACATTCTTTGAGTGGCTGTCAACTGAAAGTCGTGGTGTGTATTGCTTCACAATACAGTTTGATAAGACCGTAAAGCGGTGGGTCGATAACATGGCAAAAAGATAGAGGATAACCGTAAAACAAGCCCGTACTCGCTCATTTCGGCTTCCTAGATGGGGTTCATAGAATGGGTTAAATTAATGGATAAAGAGCAAAGAAGTAATGTGATAATGAAGCCGACGCCACCAATGAAATCCGTCGCTTTGTTCTGCAGATCAGCTTTAACAAGATCAATTGTGACTGGATAGCTCAATTTGAAGTACTCAAGTGAATGAAAGGGGCTAAGCAAGGACAGTCAGGACCGCGATTCCCTCGGTCCAGTCAGGCACTGGGACCGTAACTGAAGCAGATGGATACCGCGCGTTGCCCGCTCATAACACTGCGCTTCACGACTCGTTTCGCACTTTTTACACTCATCAGGTGGAGAGAGTAGGACTGTAACTCGAAACCGGAATGTCAGCCGAAGCGTTTACCAATAAGTTCAGATGCCGTCCAAGTGACAGAATTAATTATGTTCACTTCGAAGTTAATCAAGGTCTCGGTTGAGACTGCACGTCGCAGTACATCCACACGAGTACTTGGAAATGATCATTTATATCAGTTAATAACCGTCACGAAAAATTAATCGTCCCTATTCTTCGTTCATTTTTGGTTTCGTTCGTTTTTTTTGCTTGTGTTCTCTTGCTCTCTCTTCCGCAATAACCGCCGGTCGGTACCATTAAGGCGACCTGGGTCATGATAAGTGGATACATTGCGATGCGTTATCTAGATTGCAGATGACTGGGTAAGCTAAATGTTGTTGATTCGACAACCAACTGAAATTCGTGAAGCATACACTTGTGATGATCACAAGTAGAATGGGCTGTGGGAGATTCATATCCACAACTTTGTGATGGAATGGACATCGTTGACTATGTTTCGCCTGCTGCGGCTGAAGTGGGCATCTTTCCAGATTGGCGTGTGACAAACTGGACCGAGCACCTGACGTAGCCCACTTAAAGCCAGTGTCGATACTCAAACAATTGGTTTGAAACGCCGCAAGTTCCGAGGCCTTCAAAATGCAAGCTACTACTGTGGGGCGGGTTTGTCTACATGAAATCTGCCTAGACTCTGTTGATCAATGGCTAGGGGTCAAGCAAACTCCACTTTAACGATGAAGTATGAGTAGGATACCATGTGCACACAATATCCAATCGCGGGAGACGATAGATAGGGGGATTCAATGTAAGCTCAACGATAGGAAGAATAAATTCGATAGCTACCAATTAGGGGAGCCTATTTAAGGGTAGAAAGGTGTGAAAGTTTTGCCCATGTGCGTAATTCCGTCATTATGTAGTGATAGACACTGCGTGTGATTTGAAGGCTAAGTTGTTTTTCTTCTGAGCCGGTGACGGTTTTACGGGAAGTCTAATTAGAGACACTCGGTGTGGTAGAATAGTCATTGAAGTTTCCGTATTCCGCCCCATGTTCGTTATTGATAGCTCTAAGCATCAGACTGTTTTAGTGCATTTCTTGAAGGATATGCTGAGCATCATCATCATCATCAACAACAGCTCATCAGTACTATGTGCCGATAGGTCTACTAATGGGGAACAAAAGGAGGTGCGCAACCCAAATGTTGTGGGGATTCAAGACCAAGGTATCAACCCATGGACCACTAGAACAGCTGAACACAATGTGAAGATAAGTAGGTAACAGCGAGATAGTGTCCTAGCGACTTTCAATGTTTGGCGTCGAAAGTAATCCTAACTAAAAAAGATTCAGTAAACAAGCTAGAAGGCGATAGTAAATGTGACAGTGGTAACGGTTGCAGAGCATATTCTGTAATGTCCAAAGCAAAGAGTGGATCGCGAAGTCTCCAGCACGGGAGGCGAAAGATACAAACAACACCCAATGTGTCATATTAGCCGCAATATAAACCTTCCCGTAAACCGATTTGTATCCTAAAAGTTGTCGAAATTATGAATTAGCAGTCAGTTCCAAGTTTACTACGAGAGAGTGGTAATTCAATTCCCGTTACCACCTAAAACAGTACACCACTCAATAATTCCCAAATACAACAGCGGTTTTTGGCAGGTGGTGAGTGAGCAAAGGTATCACCAGTGGAGGCGGTTTGCTCAGTCCAAATTGATGCTCCGACGAACTCGCCTGATCATTGCTGCCCAGTATATGTTTGCGCCCCTTCGTAGTTGTGGACGTGCCCATGTCATTAAATACGAGCGATTGATAGGGTCAAACGCATTCTGGAATTACTAGAGCACAATTACAGTTAGCTTGTGACACGAATGTATTACCTAATGTGTCCATGTGATTGGGACTTAAATCGTTCCCGATGCTGTGTTACAGTACACTGGCGGCGCGACCTGAGTTCAGCTGGATAGTGAAAGCGATTGGACTCATGGTACATAGGTGCTCGGAGCGTAGATAAAAAATAAAAGTGGACTACATTCGAATACCGCCACTTGATTAATATAATGCGAATGGCCGTATGCTGAGGTTCTTGGGAAACAGATTGCAAGCTAACGAGAACAATGCAGAAAAAAGGGAGGATAGCACGAAACACAAAGAAGGTTTCAGTTCGGAAGGAAGGCGCAAGCAGTACGCCGGCACAATGTACCGCCGCTTTGCTGCCGGTGGTTGGGCATAGGCTTAGCGTACTGCGAGGTTGTTCACACTTATGCGGATTAGATCCGGTGACCTCCGGATTACAAGGCAAGTGCGTAATTCCTTCAGCCACCGGTCAGAAGTCATCGATGAATCAGAATCTGAACGTCTCTATGCATGATAAATGTTATCCGTTATAACCAAAATGGGCTAATGGGGAGAAGCATAACTTTGCGGTCATGCTAACAAATCATGAAGACATCTCAAAAGTGATCAAGACGAAAAGACACAGCGTTCGATTGTGCGGTCAGTCAAGAGCAGCTGGTTATTGAGTGACGTACCTTCACAGCTATTGCTATCTGGACAAACAAAAATTTAACATCCGGTTCGGATAGTTTACCCAATGTGATGATACGATCAAACAGCTCACCGCCCTCGACACTGCAAGGAAAATGTGGTGGAACCGAATCACTTACAGTTCCAGAATCATGTAAAGCGTATCAGCTGTGTCAATCACATCGTGGATGCGTATGATACAGGGCTGTAAAGTAGAAGGAGATGTGAATCACTGTCATGGCCATGATATCCGAGGTTAGCATTACACAAGAAAACTTCGTTGACAATTTGAGTTAAAATAATAATGTAACAGATGTACGCAGTAACGGCGCTTCGTTGCCGCGCGACCACGTCGCGCACGGGCTGGGCATACCGCGAGGATGCTCACCCCTACGCGGATTCGAACCGGTGATCTTATGGTTGCAAACCAGACGCGTAGACCACTCGGCCACCGGCCGAGGACAAGTTGAGTTATGTATGAAGCGGATATTACTGGAGATTTTGGGTGAGAGCAGCGTACAGAACGAAGTGGCGATAAAGATCATCTGAAGGAAAACAGACAGCAAGTTGCTCAAGTGCTAGACAACCAAGCCTAGAAGAGTCAACGTGTCAAAATGAGATGAAACCAATGAAACTGCTTCTATTAAGCCATCCTTTTTGAAGCAACAGAAAATGTTATGCCACAGAGAACTTTTTAGTGGAGAGCAAACAGGCACTTCATAAGGCATGTTTCGGCAGAAACGATACCGATGTGTTTCGTCTATTCTCTCTCCAAGTGTCTGAAATCACGGGTGAGGAGGATCGAGTGAAGTCCACATTGGAACTGAAAATGACTCAACTGCACGCATCATCCACTGGTGACAGAATATCGCAACTAGTTGTATGGGATGACAGTGAGTTTATATACGATTTATAAACAATTGTGAGTGACAACCACGGGCAGATGAAGGCTGCTTTTTTCTGTTTAGTAAAGGTGCTACGGAAGTAGTGGTATATTTGCTAAAGTGGCATAGAGATGGAGGGACTCAACTGTCTATTGCGAAAAAGCGGTGTCAGTGATAGTTGAAAGACAGGAGGATTTTGTGGTTGTGGGAACACCTTTTGTAGTAGCTGGACGATACCCTATATTTGAAGGTAAAATTTTCAAACAAGTTGGTAAAAACATAAACGTGGAAGCAACAACGAGCACCTACGTGACTGAGTTTCAAAAGAATATCAACTTCGGATTGCACTCGATGAACAAAAGCCTGCGGATGAGATAGAAAAAACAACACCCACGTTTCCCGACTTGCTATGAGCGAACGTCTTCTTATGCACAATCTTCATTGCTCGCTTTATACATGAATTTTTCTCGAAAGCGAGTCTGACTTCGCCACAAGCCCCGCTATGAAGAGGGTCAGCGTAAAAGAACAACTCACCGACCAATTAACTTTGACACTGTATAATGGTCGGTGACCTCCCTAGGATGACTGTCTCGAACGGAATTTGGGTCCCAGAAAATAAAGCCTGAGTAAAAAGGGAATGAATTGCATGACCAGGAAAACAAGTGTCGGCATACATTTGAAATCCTTCAAGGAGAGAGAGATCTCGTCGTTGTTGTTCAATGGTTGTATTATACCACGACCTACAAGAAGTGCTAGATAAAGTAGCGCTGTACCTAGCTTGGATCCATTCACAAATGTTCCGTTGCTGCTCAAGTCTTGGATAAAGACGGTCGAACAGTGGCCACCGGGCTCCTGAAAGTAATTGTAAAGTATTGAATAAGGCGAAACCATGAATATCTTGAAATGATGCTTGCTAAGCGTACAGAATTGACTCGCATCATTGAACATAAATGCGGAGAATACGAATGAGCAATCATCACCACGGCCGAATAAGTAGGAATCCTCGATGAGCTCTGAGACGAGAACTGATCAAGGTCACAAGAGTTACCAATAGACGGTAGCTTGTGCTTCAAAGGCAATAGTCTGCCCCAAATACGCTGCTGCATCACCACATCGGTAGTTAACGGTAAAAGCTCTTCAATGTCTTGGGTAGGAGGTAGGTCAGCCATTACGAGATAGTACAACAAAATATGGCAAGTTGAGGACGGTGAAGAGTCAGGCTGATAACACCACAGTAAGTGAGCAACCTCGAGGTGCTGAAATAAGAGGGAGAAAATACAATTAAGCCACGTGGTATGAAAAGGTGGAGTGTAGGCTAATGCTACAATTGCACTAATATGAGCAGGGGAAAAAGGAGGCATAAGTAATACGCCAAAACCACATTGACATTCCGTTGCCGCACACCCGAGTGGTCACAATCGCGCTGCAATACTGCGAAGTCGCTCGTGCCGACGCAGGTTCGAACCGGTGAATCGTGGAGTACAAATCAGACCTCGGAGCTACTACGTCAATCCAGTTCGAGAAGTAGAGTAGTGACATCCTCGGAGTCAATTTCAACTTGATCCAAAGTGGAGTAGTGTGCAGGGAAATAGTTGCTGAGCAGCGGAATTTCCACTGAGTAAACCGAGGAATATTGTGCAGACAGTAGGTCTGCTTTTTTCATCATCGTCGTATAGTTCGGTGGCTTCTTTAAAGAATGATGACGCGGGAATTCCACTACCAGTTTTGGTACTTCGATTTGGGTAGGCAGAAAGTTTCTTGGGACATATTTGGGATTCCATGGGCAGTCCAAGTTCATATTGTAGTCGTTTGTCTCGTTTTCTTAATGTGCATATGATTTTGACAGCTTTGTACTGTGAGTAGCTTGATGTCAATTTTGTGAGCTTGAAATGGTCTCACAGTCGCCGCCATTGTTTCATGAAGGATATTACTTCCTTATCAATCCAAGGGGCCTTTTGATGGTGACCTGCTCCTGCACTTTGGGATAAACTGTTTAATAAGTAGCAGAATCATAAATTGTAAACGTTCCCACGCGTCAACAAGACCTAAAATTGCGGCATACTCCAGTCGATGTTTCTTGCAGCTGTCCTTAATCTGGGCTGGTCAGTGCGACAGAAATTTCGACGCAGTGTTCTCCGATCGTAGCTTGTGAGGCGTCGTGCCAATAAAAAGGAGACTTACAGTGAACGCACTTTCCAAGAGGTTGGAGGAGTGTTAGATTAGACATCAGATGGAACCGGAGTGAAAAACAGGCCTAGTGTTTGATGTCTGGCCCCATCCGTATTGGTGTCGAGACATGTGTCAGGATGCACTCGTGGACATATCAAGGAGATCAGACTCAAAGGAGTCGGATGAGAGATCCATGCAGTCTAGAGGTAACGAGCTTGTCTCAATCTTGCGGCGCGGGTTAGAGCCTGCGTAGGGACAGGGCGACTTTCACAGCATCCTTAGCCCACGTATGACCGGTGGTGGTAGCGCTGCAGCGAAGCGTCGGTACTGCGCACCGGCGTAATGCTGATGCCTTCCTATCTCGTCTTTCCCAGATTATGTCCGGCGCATTGAAATCACCCATTAGAAGACAGTTTGTGCCTCTGCTCTGGGTTCTCATAGAGTGCAAGAGATGTGAGCCAGACCATGCAGGGGGCTCAATAGACCATTGCGACTATAATCGACCATCGTCATGAATGTACACTACAGCCCTTCTGACATCATGGTTGTCACAAATGGCTTCGACAATGTGGACTTGGGGAGAGTCCCTCGAGTAGAGGACTACTCCACCTCCAGATGTCCAACCAAAGTGATTGCATCGAAACGGTTGATATTCTTGGATATGAACCTTCTAGTCCGCTAACTCAGATGACAGCCAGGTCTCGGCGAACGCCATTACGTTGGGTTGCTGCTTAGAGCTAAGGAATAGGATCTCATCCAGCTGGCTTTTGAAGTTGCGCACATTCTCAAGTACTACTCGTAATACGTTCTTTATGTTTGAGGTCCGGGGAGGAGGAGGATTGGTTTATATCGAGCTCTCCTAGTTATTCTTAAAACGTGAGAATCAAAAAATGTGTAGATCTGTTTCTCCATTTGCTCGTCGGGTTCGCAGCTCGCAGACAGCTTGTCTCATTCTAACTCGGTCCTCCAAGGAGGTCCTTCAGAACGTAGTACGTTTCTCGCTTGAGACGCGGAGTCCGTCTGAGGATGCGTTGGCATTATTCATCATGACAAACAATTTTCAAAAGACGAAACTTGGATGGATCCTCCGGTTTTCTGCCAAGGCAGAAAGCAGAAATGAGATTTATACCTTGCGCTCGCTCATCAAACACTATGGAGATCATTCGCTTAAGGAAAGATTGGTCGTCGAGTATTCTTTCCGCTGGAACCTCTTTGTCGGATTTTGGGACGTTTGTAATTACCAAGCAGCGGTTGCGAGTGTGGTATTATTCCTCTCCATATTTACCGTTGGCAATGAACTTTCCATGAAAGTATAAACTTTCAGCTCTCGTCTACATTCACAGACTGATAAAGCCTGAATTTTCAGGTCTTGATTCTTCACTCGTTGGTCTCGCTCTGGCGTTATATCATACTACAACTTATTCGTCTGTGAAAGAATCTCCATGGACTGTTTTCTCAGACCAGACCGTTTCGACGTTGATCCCAATGTTCCGGATGCACAAAGGCAGTAGACTCACTGGTACCATACCTTCTGTAATTTTTTGGAGTCTATTGAAACACACAATCCTGATAAGCGAAAAATCCTGGTGAACTACATAGCCTCATCAGTCTTCGAATATATCAATGAGAGTACCAGCTTCGACGAAGCCATACCCGCACTGGAGAGTCTTTGTATCAAGTCCAAGAATGAAGTTTTCGCATAACCCATTTTAGCTACCAGCAAACAAGACAGCGGAGCTAACTTAGAACAGTTGGCCCAGAAACGCAGTCGTTGCTAAGGACTCCAACTTCAAGGTGGTCAGCGCGTAGGAAAATCGTGACGCCTTCATTACTGGATTATTCTCTCCTCAGATTCGACAGCGTGTATTGGAACAAGGCGCGTTAAACATTCAAACTGTATTTGCTTTAGTGAGGTCCCTGGAAATGGCACCCCAGCACTCACCCCACCATGCGCACCAATGTCCACCAAACCAGAGTCACCTCACTTGATTGCTAAATGTTCACCTTCGTCTCCATATCACTATACATTGCCGTTGCGTCGAAGGAAAAGTGCTACTTTTGTGGTTTAACTCGACATCCCCGGGTAAAGTGTCCGGCTCACAAGACAGTCTGCACGAATTATGGTGAGAAGGGACATTTCAAGAAAGCTTGTTTGTCAAACCCATCCAAGAAGAATACTTCTCAGGCATTCACTAGTTTCTTACTCTACGATTGCAGCTGCCCTCGGTTGCTTAATGTGAGCTATCACCAGGATACAGATTAACGGTTCTGAACTGGAAGCGGGCTGATTTCGGCAGTTCCGAAAGCTACGTCTCTGCTACTGTTGCTCACCAGACGAAATAGAAGATTACTTCGCCGCGCACGCGCGCATCTATGGCTTCAACCTAAGTGCAGATGTGTACCGCGGGGTATTGTAATGTAACAGTCACATACAAAAGAGACGTGTGCCACAACGTTAGATTCCGTGTTACAGAATTTGTGCTCAGATGTCTTGCTCGGGCATGATTTTCTTCAATTCCATGAGAAATTAGAGATTCCGTTCGGTAGCAAGAAACCTCCTCTGTCTGTCTGCAGCCGCACCAGCGCAAAAGTTGAAGCCCCATTACTCTTCCGTAACCTTGCACCGAAGTGCAAGCCTATAGCGAAGAAGTGCAGACGGCACAATCACAATGACGATACTACCATTCGTTCCGAAATAAACCATCTCCTACAGGAAAACATCATCGAGCCATGCTTTTCCCCATGGAGAGCTCAGGTGATAGTCACTACTAACGAAAGGCACAAACGACGAATGGTCGTAGATTACAGTCAGACAATAAATCGGTTCACCCACCTCGATGCTTATCCTCGTCCTAAATTGGACGAAATGGTCCAGAAAATCGCTACGTTTGGTACATTCAGTACTTTGGGTCTAAAGAGTGCTTACCACCAAAGCCCCATCAAAAAGGAGGAACGACCATCCACGGTTTTTGAGTCTTGTGACGATAAACCACCAATTTTGTCGCATACCTTTCGGAGTAACCAATGGCGTCTCTTGCTTCCAAAGGACCATTGATGAAATTATCTCCAAAGAAAATCTAACTGATACGTTTGCCTATATAGACAACGTCACCATTTGTGGAAAAGATGCTGTTGAACATCGGCAGAATTTGGATCGTTTTTTGAACGTTGCTTCCAACTACGGAATAACCTATAATGACACAAAAAGCGTGTTCCGGGCCCATCGGGTTAAGCTTTTGGGGCATGAGATCTCCAAAGGAATAAGTAAACCCGAGCCTGAACGACTGAGGCCTTTGCAAGAACTGTCTCCTCCCAATGAAATCAGGGCCCAACGAAGAGTGTGATAGGGATGTTTGCTTACTACTCCCAATGGATAACCCAATTCACTGACAAGATCAATTCATTCGCGCATAACACGGAATTCCCCATACCATCATATGTCCAGAAATCCTTCGAAAATCTAAAGGAGTAACTGAAAAACGCCGCAATAATGTGCCGTTAGTGGTCGATACAGATGCTTCTAATGTAACCATATCGGCTACCTTAAACCAGAACGGAAGACCAATAGTCTTCTTTTCCCGCATGTTATCTCCCATTGAGAGACGACATCCATCAGTGGAAAAGGAAACCTATGCCATCGTGGAAGCTGTGCGAAAATGGCGACATCTACTGCTTGGTATTCATTTCAAACTGGTCACAGATCAGTGTTCCATCGCTTTCACGTACAATAGTATGAACCAGAAGAAAATTAAAAACGAGAAAATACGGCGCTAGCGGCTCGAACTTGAACCATTTCATTACAATGTTATATACCGACCAGGCAAGTTCAACCAGGGAGCCGATACATTCTCACGTATCTGTTGCAGCAGATCGTCTGGCAACCCGGACCTAAAACAACTCCGTGTCACCCGGGCATAACTCTCATGCCCCTTTTGTTCCATGCCAAAAATCTTCACACACAAAATACACACGTTCGCTAGAGGTAGGAAACACCTCAGCTACTGTGCCGCAATACATATAAGAAAAAAGGGAGTAGAATGCAACAGGTGCAAGCCAGCTGAGTTACCGGCAACTGATGGGCATCGTTC